GCCCGGCCCGGCCCGGCCTCCTCCGGTCTCCAGCACCAGCCGAAAACACGCGCGAGCGGCGTTGCTGTTTCCAGCACGTTTAGGCCAGCGAACGGGAGGGGGGTGAAGTTGGTTGTGCGAGGCTGTGCAAGGCCACCGGTACGCTGTTGGCACCAAAAGTGCAGGAAAGACACCTGAAGATACCTTTTAAATTACTAGAGGCACAAATAAAGAGCGAAGCTATAACCTACACAGGAAACCTGATCAATAACTAGCAATAATACCCGGCCGCCCTTTCATGCTCCATAAACCCTCTGAATTTAGCCACTGGTTTAAATGGGGGCAGGCCTGCACCGCAGTTTTCTGGTACACTAAGCTAGAGCCTTCCTGCAGGACGTGCCTTCTCTAAGTAGTTGTGTGTACGTGCACGGACGTGTGTGCGTGTGCACGACAGACTGCGCACACACGTTTTATGTGTGTCTTTATACATGCATAAATTTTACAAAATACGTTTAAAATACATAGACATAGATACACTTACGTGTATATATATATACACACTATATATATGTGTTTCTACTTGAACAAGTTTTGTAAAATGTGCTTTTTATGTTATGTCAGCAATGAGTAGACATTTCTTATATTGCCTGAAGCTTTCCTTTAAAAACTATGGTTCCGAAGACAGGTACAGGCTCTCCTTTATAAACTCTTACATTTTCTAAGGATAAGTATTAAACGTTTCTATTACAGCATTTCCTCTGCTAACTGAAATGAATACTCCATTTTTTTTTTCGATACCCAGAACCACCGGCCATTACCATGCTTTCTTCATTTACCAGCTCTCGCTAACTAGCAAAAGTTGGATGATTTTTCTTCGCAACAGAATAATTCCCCTCTACTCCTTGACACAGAATGTGCCTAAGATAATAATCCTCATATGAATTAAAATGTATAATTTTATTTTGTCTACTTGTGCGTTTATCTTTCCGTTCCTTTAAAATGCAAGTATTATTTATGCTTAAATATATTTTAAAAGTCCATTTGTAAAAATATGGTCATAACAATAAAAAATATTTTCCAGAATAAGAAACTTTGTACAGCTGTGCAAACAATGCTTGCATGACCAGTTTATTACCGAGTATGTTGCACCTAGACATCCTTTCTCATGCCTGGACAGCACATCCAAATTACTGCTGTATTCTGATGGCTCAAAGAATACGTAGAAAATAAATAGAAGACCGAAGTCCATAATGATAGATACTTAGCAAATTACGGCTAACTGGGGACTGCAAAAGAAAATAATGTGAAAGAAATCAAGCCTCCCAGGTGTGTTAGCTCCTTCTTGCCATGCAAAGGCTGGGTAGTTTGGTTGCAATGAGACACAGAAATTGTTCCTGCCTTCCCAGCACATTTTTGCTTAAAAAATCCTTTTGCTCAAGGAAAGAGCGTTATTCTTAGACACCAAAACAGTGAAGCAAAGGGGAGATTTCACGTCATGCCTTCAAATGAAAACGGAAGGACCTTAAGGGTCAGCATAAAAATTCCACAGTACAACACTTGCTCCCTCAGCCCTTGCCAGCATTTTTCTCAGCCCCTTCACCTTTACACTACTGTGGGTTGGGTGTTAGTCCTAGGAAGCCGCACAGCGAGTCCCACTCATGGGGAACTGAAAGAAGGGGGCTTTTATCTGTCCACATCCAGCATAAGTCCACTGTGCGTTGCCTGCTCAGTACATAATTGATGAAATCTATTTTGGGCTGGCTTCATCAGTTTGCTCTGGCTATTTTGACCTGTGGACAAGACTATTGTCTATCAGCTACAACCCATCGCATCCCTTAGACAAACGATCCAAAAGGAACAGACAGCTCCCCATACTGACATCGCCACCGCATCATGGCTATGAATGTAAATACCAGAGCAAGGATAGTCAATGTACAGCTCCTGCAGCAAGCACAACTCAGCCACGCAGCTCAGATATAGCTCAAATTAAAGCCTAATAGCATATAGAATAGTAACTGCTATAGACATGGAGGGAAGTCAAGGTCTGTTCCTGTATGAAACCTATCACTTCATTACCTAACATATTACACTGAGAGTTGCTTAACTGAAATAACTTTGAGCAGAAAGTTTGGATTTTTTGCTTAATTCTGCATCTTTAGTTATGAAAAAATCTTGACTGTTTTTAGAGGGCATGTGCCAAATGAGCTGAAATCAACGGAGCTGCTCCAGAGGTGAATTTGGATCACTGCGTGTTGGACTTTCAAAGGAAAACTGCAGAAATCACAGGACCGCTTGAGGCAGAGACCTCATGCGAGTCATATGAACTGTTATTACAGACAGAGGGATGTGGAGGAGCAAAGGAGAAAAAAAGAGAGACATTTTAATTGCATCAGGACAACAACATGGGAGACGTTGTGTGTAAGTGCTATCAGACCAGGATGCTGCAGCTGCTGTTCAGAGAGAAGGAGCTGCCAACATATCCAAGGCCTTCAGCACATGGAAGCAGTGTCCACAGCAGAGGTATTTAATATCACACCGTGATACTTGTGCATTGGGATAGGTTAAGCCTGGGTTCCTCCACTTGTTGTGGGAGTGCAAAACATTCACATTTGCTTCTAACCAGACAACATCAAACTTTGCAGCTTCAGGCTTGTGAAGCTACTGAAAGAGGACTCCGTGCCTTAGATGACAATAAATGCCTTTGATGTGATGAACAGGGAGAAGGTTGTGCTCCAGCGAGCTCTATGCCAATGAGGGATGGTAAAACAGGGAGGGAGCCAACAACCTACAGTTCTGGAGAAGGCAGCATGCCACAGATTACAAATCCTGTTATATTTGAGTCAAATGATAATGCAGGCACCCATCCAATGTAGCTGCTCAGGAGGAGCTTGCAGGCTGCCTGCCATTCATTACCACTGTTTTTATAGTTTTATAGTTTATGGTACTGTTACGCTGTATGGGCCAAATTAACGGGCTGTGTAAATTATACAGTGGTGAGAAAGGCTCAACATGGCGAGGGGTGCGGGGGCAGGGGGTTAAGGAGGAGAAGAAGACATAAATTTAAACTTCCTGGAATTTCACTCCTGCATTTGGTTTTTAGTCCCTGCTCTAACAGATTGCTATCTAGAGATGAATAAATCAAGGGTAAGAGAGAATAACATGCATTTAGAATGATACTGGTAGAAGTGTCCTCCACAGTTAAGGCAGTTTTATCTTTGTATGTGCTCAGAGTGAGCGCTACCATTTACCACAACAGGAACATACAGACAGTTGCTCCCCTTACAGACAGAGCTGAGAAACTGTACTGGAGATCTGTGACTGGTGGGGAGGGAGATGAAAATGATGTGAAATACTCAAAGTCAGTGCAGTCAAGGAGAAAGGAAGGAATCACATCAGTAAAATGGTGGTTTGCCAGTGATAATAGTTTGCCTTCTTTTCCTGTGCCAGCTGTCAGATGTAACCAGAGCACCCCTTCCTCTACCCTCGCTGCAGCCCCCGTGGCTCCACACCCTCCAGAGTTGGAGGTGCAGGACGCAGAGGCCTTGGAGTTACCCTGATCCTTTCCAGGAGCAGGATGTTGTGGAGAGGTTCAAATGGGTGAGTGTGCAGCATCCATAGAGCCAGACAGGAGATATTTCATCCTATGATTATTCCAGCCATGAATCAGTATTTAATTACTGAATGACATGCTAATAGCTTCTTGTTCTACCCAGCAATCTAAAACATGTACCCATTTCTTCATGAAGCAGAGACAAGGCATCCCATTTGGAGCTGCCACATCCTATGTACATCTAGAGAAGCTGTGTGAAGGATCCTGTGCAACTGTGTACAAGGGGATCAGCAGGTGAGCAAGGACCACCGGTGCCACTATTGCCTTCCCAGTGCCTGCTGAAAACACCTGTTACGGGAATCCGTAAGAATGAGCTTGAAGCTGGGGAATTCAGAGAACTTACAGGAAGATAAAGGCAAATTAAAAGTCCAGCTTTGCCTTTAACCAGGATATTCGCAAAACCCCGTCCCAATTTTTCAGGGAACTCCTCCACTACAGCCATGGAGGCTCCACAAAGACACTTTGCTCCGCAGCAGCATGCCAGGAGATTGACTGGTTGCACCAGGGAGGGAGCAAGGGTTTTCCTTGGAATGAGGGATCCCTGCATGATGGAAAAATTGGGGGTAAGGGCATGCTGCCATCACACAGGGGCAGGAAAGCTGTGAGAGGGTAGAGTGGGAACACTGCCCAAAGCCATGCTCTAGCAATACCCGGTCAGCAGAACGGTGCTACTCTAGCCAGGCGGGCTGGCTCCTGTTTCGCTGCTAATGAAGACAAGATGGAGGTGGTTTGTAATTCCTTTCTGAGCTTGGCCTGGGTGGGGCAGTGAGCCCTAGAAATTTTGCTTGGGTAAGTGTGGAGCACCCCAGGAGACTGTTAATGTTGCTGTCATGCTGAGCACTGAGGTGCTTTGTGTGACCTTCCACTCTGACCTGACAGGATCAACGGCCAGTTGGTGGCGTTGAAAGTGACCAGGCTGGAGGCAGAGGAGGGAGTGCCCTTTACAGCCATTCGGGAAGGTAAGACATAAAGAGCTGCTTCAAACATCGGTGAAGAGCGAGGGACATCATTCTTGAAGAGCTTTTGTTTTAACCTGAAAAAGCTCCATGTGACGTCTTCCTAGGTCCTTTCTTGCCTACTCAATGTGCTGGCTGTCCTTCTCCCAAAACTCTCGGTTTCCTTATTCCCTCATGAAGGAGGTCTTTGTGCTGGGCTGGGTAAGCATGTGATGGATGGAGGGGGAATCTGCTGGCTGGTGTATTCCCTCATGACAGATGCATCTGAGCTTGTGATAAGGAAAGTGCCAGCTGCAGCCAGAGCGTGTCCTTTCTAGCAGTGTAGGGCCCTCTTACACCTCCTGCCTTCTACCTGCTCCATAGTTGCTTCTCACTCCCATTTCTATACACTAGCACTGCACAGCAGTTTTTGGCGCTGTCACATTGGGCAGTTCTGGACTGGAAATGCCCTTTGCACCACGGTCTCTGCTTGCTGTTACCACAAATGGTGCCGCTTTCCTGTGTGATGGCAGCTGATACCTGGAGCATCGCAGATCCCAGCCTGAAGAGAAACACTTTCAATAAAACTGGTGTTTAATAACATCTATCATTTCATCCCGGTGAGAAATTCTTTCTGTCGGTTGACTTTGTAGAGCACTGGGCAAAATGTCTGCAGCTTTCTCAATTTCTTTGAGAAAGAAATGCTTTTGTTTAAGTGCTTGATTTTTGCTGAATGTATTTACATGTCCCTACAGACCAAGTTCACAAATGGCCTGGTTGATTAAGGCTTCTATTTTCGTCTGCTCTACAGTCCCAAGAGGATCATAATCTGGTTTCTTCCTTACACAGAAATATGCAACCTTTGTGCCAGTCTGCTGTCTGGTATTAGTGAGACCTATCAATGTAAGAGGTCACACATACTTTGTTTTCTACTTCTTACTGCAGTTCAAGACTAGGTTGATTTTGTCACGAGGATGGAGTGTCAGGGACCAGATGTGCCAGCTTTCACCGAGCAGCCCTAGCACAGAAGGACTCTCATACCAGTCAACTCGGAATAACGAGAGAGGTCAGTGGACCCACTCCAGGTTTATAACAGTGTAATTAAGGTAAGAAAGTTTACGAAGTCCTTAGTCCAATTCTGGGTGAAAGCAGAGGGATACCTAAATATGCCTATTTACAGAATGGCTTGTGTTACAGTTTCCTATACACATTTGCTGTGGTGCTTTTGCTCTGCATTTACACTTGTAGCCCACCAGTAAAATAAGCCTTAAAAAGCTTTATCTACATAGAACTAATGATGCTCTAAAGATCAGCACCCCTTTAACATGCTCTACTGGACAGGCTGAGAGCCTTAACTTCATTCATTATGGGAGAAAACAAGTGTGATCCTATGAAGGGTCTACTTTAAATAGATCTTTTGTGTACTGCTGAGCTTTGCAGCATCTGACACCTCAAATTTACAATGTAAGTCAGTAGCGCAAACAAAGCACAAGATTTATTAACACGGTGCATTCTCTGCTACCCTGGAGGAATGGCACTCCCCTGACAAAGAGCCACTTCACTCCAGGAAGCCCCACAGAGACGAAATGCATTTAAAGCTCAGTTCTGGCTGTAGCACCTGACACCCCAGCAGGGGGTTGTAGAAGCAACCAAGTGGGGAGCAGTTCCCAGAGGCCTGATTCAGGCACAGGAGCTGAATTCTCCGTATTACTGTGGACCCTCTGTACTGCTCCTCTGGAGCAACAGCTCTGGTCATACGGGATTTTTGAGGAATCACAGAGCCAGGTTAGCAGCCCCTTTTCCGTAGCAGATGGGATCTAGCCAGAGTATCTTTACTGGGTTCATAGGCAATTAGGTGCAATGTGGAGCGTGTTTATGGTTCATACTGCTGTGCACTGGAAAGATACTGATGGTAGCTAAATGGACCAGCATCAGTACTAGAGGCAGTTTAGCTGCAGCAGCACTCAGCTCTGTGTAAGAACTAATTTACAATCTGTGCTGTTTCCAGTAGTTATGCTGAATCAGGCATCCCTTACTGCTCAGCAGTCTCAGTATTGACATATGCTTAGGCCACAGCTGTGTAATACAGTATATCTGGCTGTAGGGCTTTTAGAACCAGGTGAAATTGTTATGGTCACAAAAGGCAAAGTGCTAATCCAGTATAAATTTGCTTTGCCAGCATGAAACTCTTCAAATATCTTCTGCAGATTGTTTGAAAAACAAAAAGCAGCTTTTATCCAGGACCAAAACTCATTTGGCCTCCTATGGCCGGCCCAAGCTCTGTATTGTGTGCTTTGGCTAATTCAGCAGAAACGAGATTGTATGCCCATGCCTTATCTGAATGAAATTTGTAGCACTGTGTGGTCTGACAGAAAATTAATTTGGTTTTAATCAGCAGGGAAAGGTGAGTCTGGAGCAGCTCTGAGGCTATTCTGCTTATGTCAGAAGCTGAACTAAAATCTGGAGTCAGGGACCCCTGTTTTTGCTGAGCTTTGGGGCTTCTGTCTGTGCAGAGTTTCGGTATAACAGCTGGCTTGGATTCTTCAGTAGTGCCAGGGATCTACAGGCAGAGCGATCCCAGCTCCACCACTTCCCCACATCCCTCCTCTGTACAGAGCTACAGCAGCTATTGTCTCAAACCTGTGGTAGCAAATGATGAAGCTGTGCATGCTGTTCCCCCATAAAGACTATCTTTGAGACTTTCTGCTGAGAAGCTGCCTTCATGAGTGTGTCGGCTGGAGCCTGCTCTATCATGAGAAACCTAACGCAAGGCTGAAAGGCTCAGAAGGCTGTAGCTTTTGTCTTAGCATCAGTCAGTGCTCTGTGGTCTATATGGAGGCAGAGACTCTTCCCTGTGCTGCCCTCTCCATCAGCACACCCTAGATGTGCTGAGGCTTGGTGAAGGCATGTCAGCACCTAAGGACCAGGGCCACACAGTAGCAATGATGCTTGTAGATGGTTAGGCCAAAAGAAAAAACGTGCCAAAGTTGTATAAATACAAACAAGTTACTGTTCACTCAGTGACTTCATCATCTCTGCTCTTTGAGTTTTAAACTGAAGAAAGTAACCAATATGCATTCTCCAAGCTAAAAGCATAGAGCTAAGTTCAGCTTAGCATCTACAGTGATTTCTTCTGGCAGATTTTTACACCCTGATATTGTGAAGCTGGAAGCTGATAGAAACTCAGCTTTCCCCAGAAGTCTCCTAAGGGCCCTGCTGAGGGCATGTGCCAGGAGGTGGATGGGAGAAGGGTGAGAAGCTCAGTGACAGGCCGGGGGCTGCTGCATTCTGGCTCTGAGAGCTCCCAGCCCCTGCCTCTCGGCATTTGCCTTGAAGAAATTACTTCTCCTCAGCTGAGAAGCTGACAGCTGGGAACTGTGAACTGCTATTTCTGACAGAGGCAAGATCCCACCTCTGAGAGATGGACAGGTTCCTGCCAAGCCCGGAGCACTGGTGCTTCTCTAAGGAGCTGTTCCATCCTCCTCCAGACTCAGTAGCTGCTGCTTCTTACAGAGCTGCCAAGTTTGGACTATTTCTCCCCAGTTTTTTATTTTCACTGCCTTGCTGTGTGCACTGTCTCCTTCCACTTCCATCAGCAGTGGTTAAGTTGATCTTCCTTTTGTGTTTCCCCAGCTTCTCTTCTCAAGCGTTTGAAACATGCCAACATTGTACTGCTTCATGCCATTATCCAGACCAAGGAGACACTAACATTTGTCTTTGAGTACATGATGACTTGACCTTTTTCTGGCTTCCTATGGAGCTAGTACTGGGAAGTACTGGGAAGTGGCTGCGTAATGAATTTACTGCATTATGAGACACCTACAAAGAGACGAGTTGTAATCCTTTAGCGTAATGATTGATTTTCCTTCTCGATCTCCTGCTTTCCAGCCACACAGCCTTACTCTTTTCTTTCATATATGTGACAGCTGTATGCAAAAATGATTCCACATCTTGTCTCCACTAGGGTGGCAGACGCTATTTACCTCCATTTCTGCCTTAGCAACACAATAAAAGTACTGTTCTTGAGCCACAGCAAGGATAGGAAATAAAGATACGAGCTCACATCCCAGTTGGGGTCAGATTTGGCACTGACCCCAGTGGCTCACCAAGCTGTGGGTTGCTCTCATGGGGAGGGCAGAATGCCAATAAAAATGTTCTCAGCATGAGTCTTGCTACTTCTGTTGCTTTTGCTGATAGCTATGAACCAAATTATAAGGAAAATACAGGGGCTATGTCTTCTTACTGCAGCTTTATGATGAATTCTGGTACAAGTATGAATTCTGTTAACTGTCAGCTTCAGGTCATAAACTGCTAGGGTGAGATAACAGGTCAGCCAGGTCCCTGATTTGACCCAGCACTTAAGCACATCCTTGTGTGCTGCATCAGATCAGATCTTCGCCAAGGTGAAAGAGACACCTTTGTAGTGGTTGCATATTTTTTCCATTTACAGAAGAGGCATTGTTGGTAGAAGGATTTTACACTAGTAGCTTTGCCTCAAGATCTCCTCTTTTATTTAGCACACAGATCTAGCACAGTACATGGGCCAGCATCCTGGAGGACTTCATTCGTGCAATGTTATGGTGAGTTCCTTAAAAGACTAGTATCCCTTAAAGCATGAGGAAGTGTTATTTTCCACTATGTATGGTCATTGTAAATTGCTTACTAATATTTATTTGTTCCATGTATGACAAACACTCTGGAGAAAAGCTGCCTTTGATAAAGATGTAATAACGTCCCTTCCAGTCTCCAAAGCCTTTTTTCGGTTAGCCCCTCTTCCCATTTTTTGAGCCTGCAAGAGGACATTCAGCTTTTGTGAACAATGACATCTTGTGGCAAGAAAATCTGTCTCTACACAGATTTGTATCCTCTTATCATTAGAATACATTATTCATCTCTCTAATTAAAAACTCTGAAATCTCACTCTCTCCTCATCTGGAACTATCTTCATATTTACAGTAAGTTAAATCCCTTTGTTTCTACTACAGCTTTTTGGGATTGACTGGACCTGAGCACAGGTGAAGATGTACCCTTACTTTATAGACTGATGTTATAGTAGTCTCCTACTCTCCTTCACATTTAATTAATTTTCAGGATTGTTGCTGCACACTGACTTAAGGTTTCAGTGCAGATGTCCTGGGTCCAGATTTGTCCACCCAAATGCCTGGGTCCTTTTCCTGAGCAGCTTCAGTTAATTTATATTATAGCTGTCAAGAATAACTTCGTATCTTATCAAACTGCCTATTCATCTGACTTTGTCAGATCTCTCTGAAGTTCTTCACTGTCACTTCTTATCACGGCTAATCTAAATACTTCTGTCATCTTCAAATGTTGCCACCTTGTTCACATCTTTTTCCAGATAGTTGTTAAGCAACACCAATTCTAATGAAGTTTCTTGGGACCCCAGATTTGAAACATCCTTAAAGCTCAGATATGTCCAAGATGCAGTGTTGTAGTTTTGGCACAGATCTCAAGGGCTCTGCTACCAGGCGGGCTTGTAAAGCCCATGGAGTACATGGCTGTAACATGTACTCACTGGCATTTCTGTGAGTAAACACTAGCCCGCTGCTCTGCTTTCCTGTCCAAAATCCTCATTGTCAGCAGGAACTGAGCTGCAAAATGATTTACTGCTCCTTTAGGAGGGTCACCTAGCTTGCTTCATTTTTGCTGGCAAATGTTGTTTGTTTTTTCTCTGAGTGACTCCTATCAAATATGATGCAAGTATGCAGAATATTGCAGGGACACTTTTCGGTACAAAAATGACCTATGGGTGTCACTGTTTTTCCTCCTCTTCAGATTAAGCTTCTGGTGAAAAATTATCTTTTCTCTGGTGAAGTCTAATTACTTTTGCTGTGTTTTGTTTCTATCCACTCTCCAATTTCATACCTTGTTTCAGCCCAACTTATTTTACCTCAGGCTTATTTACACTGTGATGCTGGTGGGAGTTAGATATTTCTTTCTTGCTTGCTTTCTTGCTTGTTTTCTGCTTGCTTGCTTGCTTGCGTCATTCATTCATCATACCTTATTTGCTGTATCTGTTCAAATCAAATCCCTGTGTTTTCTCCCAGCTTGAAGATAACAGTTCACATCATTGTCAAGTAAGTCAGTTCACTGGTCCAGCTTATACTGGGAAGAGGTGGCGTGCACAGCAGCCGCAGAACTCCCTCTGCTGGTGTCAGCTGGCTCAAGCGGGCAAAACTTCCAGCTCCTTAAACCTTCATTTTCCTTGGCTGTATGTCTTTGTCTTGAACACTGAAATGAGAATATCTGCTGTTCTGAAAGCCGGCTCTGTGTTTTGGCAAGTTGCACTTGCTCCTGCGATCAATAGTCCATTTCTAAAGAAAAGTTAAATTTCCAAAATGTGCACTTGGGGACTGCGCTATAACTGCCCTCATGGCCAAATATTCCACCCCGAAAACCTCAGAAAGGTGCAGGGCAGTCATACCCCACCACAGTTTTCTCTTCCTCAGCCAGCTCTACTAATTTTTGGGATTTTTCTGGTTTCTTACTTGCTTTGTCTCTGCTTTATTCCAGTTCTCCTGAAGTTCGGAGTTAATGTATCAATGCAAAGTCACACAAAGTCATTTCAGTTTTTTGTTGGCTTTTTCTAGCTCTTCATGTTCCAGCTTTCGCGCGGCCTGGCTTACATCCACCAACACCGCATTCTTCAGCATGATCTGAAACCCCAGAATGTGCTCATCAGTTGCCTTGGTGAGCTCAAATTAGGCAACTTTGGTGAGTCAGTTTGGATACTGCTAATGTATCTGCTCAGACCGAAGCTTTAGCATGCATATACATCTGTATCCACAGCCAATTAAGGCATAGAAGCATAACCTCTTACTGAACTTCAGGAAACTATTTCTGTGGTCAGTCCAGCCTTTCTTGTCTTTATACTGATAGGTGCAGGGAGTAACCTCATTTAACTCAGAGCAATTACTGCCATGTAAAACTGGTTCAAGAGAATTGAGAATCAACCCCTCTCTCTTCAGAAAATAATGTAACATGTAGAGTCCACAGCAATGTGCTGAACCAAAAGGCTTTCTTGGCATTGGTTTGGGATGGCTGCTTCAGTCACAAATGGTAAAGCCCTGCAAAACTCAGCATATTGCTTGATCTGATCTGCCCCAGAGGTGTATTCCAGACACACTTTCTTTGTCAATTGCTTGTAAACTGCATTGGGATTGCTTGTGTTTAAAGATCCAAGGGAAAATAATGTCCTGTTTCCAATTATTATCATCTATGCATTGTAGAGGTAGAAGGACTTTCCTAACACAGCAGTCTTTTTTTTTTTTTGCAGGCCTTGCTGGTGCCAAGTCCATCCCCAGACAGACATACTCCTCTGAAGCGGTGACACTCTGGGACCGTCCTCCTGATGCGTTGCTTGGAGCTACAGACTATTCTTCTCATCTAGATATCTGGTACTGACCAATTTCAAAGCATCTGGGGTCCCTTGGAAAAAAATAATCTTTATCTGAATTAAATTAAGTCAACCAAGTTACAGTAGATATAGTCATAAGTAGAGGAATTAACACCTGTGAGCAGAAAATGTGTGAGCAGTGGGGAGTTTTGTACTGCTGGGTTCATAGAAGTTTTGGGGAATGATGTCACTACACCTCAGCTATGGATTTATATAAACCTCATCTGATAATGAAATATGTACATCTCATTTGGTAACATTTATGAAGCTTTTTCAGGTCTTGCAACAGAACATGTTTGCTTAATGCACTTATTGTTTTGTATCTATGTGGTCAGCTGAGTCACTGGTAGCTCTCTACAGCAATGGCTTTGTGAAGAAACAATGGAGCCAGTCACAACTGCACCAACAATGACTTTGGCCTTGGTAACAAAAGGTAGCATTAAAGGGCTTCTGAATGGGTATGGAGATAGAAAGGTGTCTGAGATTTTCATTATTTCTGTGATACTTTGTCCTTCTTCTCAAATAACATGTCTCAGATGCATTCTGCATTTCATACAGGAGAAGGGCTGTGTTCTGTTAAAGCCTTCTTACCTTATGAGCTCTATCCCAAAATCTTAACGTGTCTGGGAATCACAGGAAAGAAGCCACACATTAAGCAGAGCTGAAGGGAAAGGGGTCTCTGAGAGCAGGCAGAAAGCAGGAGAGGATGAGGACTTCACAGGGGTCCCACTGGTCCTTTTGGGCTGGCCTGGATATGTAGCTAGGCCCTAGGGTGCATCCGCCTTCTGGCTGACTTCTGCAGCAGCCTGAGCCCGCTTCCAGCAACACAGTCCTGACTTACTCACGACAACATGCAGGTCATGAAGTTGCAGGAGACCACCCTTCTTCTGGGTAATTTTACATCTGTAGATAGTATTGCTGCTTCACCCTTTCTTCAGATGAGTTAATTTTCTGCCTGTGCCTGTCACACTGGGACTTAATTCTTAACTGCTCTGCAGAGTCAAAGGCTGGGAAAGGGTGGGAGCGCAGCAAGCTGAAGAATGTGCAAGAAGAGGGCTGGGTAAGTTTACAAACAGCAAAGCTCCAGGTCTTCTCAGGCTGTATCCCCCCTCCAGAGATCTGCGGCTTATCAGAGACGCCGATGGCCTAAGTCTGGAGGGCAGTTCAGGGAAACAGGAGTTTTTAGTTTGTTCACTTCCCTAGGCCTGCTGCTAATTTAATTGCTTAAAGATTTCTCCAAGGAGGAAAACCTTGCTAAATTCTAATGGCTTCCAGCTGCTAAGCCAGTCTAAATAGTCCTGTCTTCTCTCCCCCACTACCTGTCACCTCTCCCCTCCAGACAGTCTCTCAGGAACGTCTGCTGAGTTTGAAGAAGATGCCTGCCTAGCAGATTGGAGGGTTTGTATTAGGCGGATGCTGGTATAAGCCTGTTTCTTTTTTCCTGAAAGTTGACCCCTGTCCAAAGCCCCAGCTACGCACAGAAAGCCTGGCATTTCTGCCTGTGCAAAATCAACACCCCCACTACATAACTGCTCTAGTGTAATGAATAGCAACATAGGAGTGGTATACAAAGATCCCATCCAGCACTCTGACCAGCTCTAACAGCACAGTACTCTCAGTCCCACTGAACTACATTCACACTATAGGCACCTTTGTTATAACGCCTCCTTATAATAACAACATTCAAAGTGTTTGCCCTAAAGAAAGGTGTCACGCTGAGAGAATAGAGAGTACTTCAGTGAGCTCTATTCAATAACTTCCTCTAACAAGAGTCATTTATTATCTTGATGTACACTGCATTTAAGTTCAATTTTTGTCTATTAGGAAATAATGTGAATTCACACAGATGTTACTTGTCTATTGGGAAGAAAGAAAAAAAAACGCCTGTGTCTTTTGGATGCTGCAATTTACATGAAGGCAGGTCAGAATGCCCTTGGTAATGGCATGAGACAGTGGGTGTTAAAGCCTTGGTTTAAAGAAACCAATTATAACAAAATAAAACATTATGGCAATTCATGCATAGTGTGCTTGAGCAGCAATACTGTCAGTGGGAGGCACATGGGAAGTGAATGAGGCCTTGAATAGATGAAGAAAGAGATATAGAAGGAGACTCACTTGCTCTTGGACTAACTAGAAAATCTGCTTTAATCTCGCTGTATCTTTTTTCTCTCTCTTTCTCCTTCACTATCTCTTCAGGACTTTAGAAGATTCAATTAAGGGATTTCAGGGAGACTAACATTTCAGGGAGATTACACTGCATATCAGAAAGACTTTTATTTTTTTTAAACACCAAGTACTTTATGCATGTGCAGCACTAGTAGCTGCTAACATTATGAGTGCCCCTTAAGTCATGTCTTCTTTTCAGTCAGGCTTTCCTTGTATAATCCTTCATTTAAAAAAAAAAAAATCACAGGAATCTTCCCAGGTAGATTCATGTAGAATAGGAGTTTCCATGCAGTCATTTAACGTGGACCTGCCAGGTCCACTACAGCCTTCTCCCCAGCCTGTTTCACGTTGCCCGTTATGCCAAACTGGGAGATACAGGCTAAGGGCTCCACTGTGCAGACCACGCTTGGTGAGGAACACGAGAAAGGATGTATTTCTGGTTAAATACAAAATTGCAGTCTCCCAATGCCAGAAAAACTGTGGACAGGGAACTCTGGGATGCCGCAAAGATATCTTAGATCTTAATCCTGATGAAGTCGTCTCTCCACTGTGTGATGCAGCACTGCAGGCTGAGGAGTAAGTGCAGTGTTCAAACCTGCCCCAGGGATTGCAGGCAGATGCAACTGTACTGTCTGAACCAGCTTTGTTTATGTTCACTGGAACTAAATATCCCTATAACCAGTTATACCTCTCCTATTACTTTAGCAGTCACTGTCTTGCTTCACGTGCATATCTGGCACATGCTGAAACATGATGTCTAGGCCTCTTCCTGAAAGACCCCTCCTTCTGCCCTAGCTCTTCCCAAGGCAGCTATCTGGGACTGAGACCCTTTGAGAAACTTGTAGACTTCAGGGGGTGAGAGGACCTAGGAAATGAATTATCAGAGGGGTAAGAAGGAAAAGGGGAAAAACAAAACAGCACTAGGTCTAAATCTTTAGAAATATTTAAATGTAAATGGCTTTGAATCATCCTCATTAACAGAAGGATCCTCATAATGCTGTCAGAGCAGTAATTGTAAATCCCGTATCTCAGAAGGAAAGTTGAGGCCTCTACTGAAAGGTTAATATGGTGACTAGCACTAGTTTCCAAAGTCCTACTTTAACAGATAGACAAAAATACCTGGGAAAAGAGGGGGGTGCCCATACGTCAGTTGTTCTAGCTACTTCTGGCCTTTTTTTGTAAAGAAAAGCATATTTCATCTGGAAACACACAGAGATAGAAACAGTCATAATTGCCACTGATGAATCAATACAGTATCAAGCAGGCATTAAAGACAGCTAGTCAGCTGAGTCTCGCTACAGGAAACGAAAAGCCCTTCCTTTCCAGCGGTTGTGGTTACTCTGATAGTTTTGCCTTTATTAGAGACACTGAGGTTTAAAGGCTTCCAGAGATAATGGGAATAAACCAGGAATACAAGAGAGAGCTCTACCAGAAAGTGCATTTGTAACAACCTACGAGCTGTTCCTCTCCTCAAACTGACAGCTTGCCCATTAGTGAAAAGACTATTTCATTAGATTTGAAGTTTTGAGCTCTTTGCTCATGAGTAATTCTTAGCAAATGCTAGCTGAATCTAGGGAAAAAAACAGCTTTCTAGTTCTTACTTGCATTTATTGCTCTGTCTGGATTTCAAGCCTTCTCAGCAATAACAGAAACCGTAGCAGATCTGGTTTTCTGTCTGCCGTGAACTCTGTTGCCTTAGACCTTTGCAGCAGAGCAGTTAGGTCACAAGGACCACATTTATAGGGCACTTTCACTGTTACTAGCCCCTTTTCCTTAGTAACTGCTGTGTACCTCCAGTCCCCAAATCCTCAGTGTTTTAAATTCAATTTAGGAAACAGCAGAGCCAACACTGTTGATTAGAAAGAATCTCTGTAGAAGGTCTAGTTCTATCTGTCTCATTTGGGGGCTGCAGTGAGTCCATACGAAGTTTCTGCTGTTGCCAGTCTAATGGCCATTTCTAGCTAGGGTATCAGATCCCAAACTGTGGGTGAATGTCAGGATCATTTGCTCCAAAAACACATAGAGCTGATTCTCTTCTCCCTACAAATCAAGAGTACCTAAATTGCTTTGACCATATACAGTTGAACTTGTGCAATGGAATCAGTGGATTACAGCAGCCCCTGTGGTTGCAAAATAGGGTGAGCCATTTGGCCACGTACATCAGCTGTGAAAACAGGGTTGGTATGACACTGGTCTCAGTAGAATCAATCTGTGGGCTCCAAAATAATATCTAGTGATGTGGTAGTGCTATGAAACACAAAAAATCTATGTCGCAAAAGCTGTGGGTTAAGTTTCATTGTGCCTGGACCCTGTAAGAGCATATTAGACAGGTAAGGAACTAAGCTCACATGACCCAAGGTTAGGGTACAGGAAGCTAAGGGAAAGTGCTGCAGAGATGTTTGTGAAAACAGCATTAGATATGGATCTGCAGAAAGGCTTGGCATCACCTGATGCTCAAGGATGACCAAAATGAATACCGCAGATGAGTTGCATGTCAGGCTTTCAGCTGACCACAGCCAGGTGGGAAAAGCATCTACAGTATTGCAAAAACAAGGTGCAAGGGGTAACATAGCAGTACAGATGACCAGAACAGATTACTAGTTGTTGCTCAGCAAGTGAAAATAATACTTTCAGAGTCTGTTAGACAAAGCTAGATTTTCAACATTTGAGCTTAAAGGACTCAAATTTGCTATAACCAAAGAAGATTGAGGCTGAAACCTGAAAAGTTGGGATGGGGCTTAGTGAAAAGACAGGAAACCTAGAAAAAGTTTGGAGGAAAAAGAATAAAAAGTAAATGAGCAGAGTTTTGCACCATACAATAAGAGATGGAAATACTTGCAAATAGGTAAGTCTACCCTGACGACAACTATCTCATCATTGTTGCCAGCAGGACTAATCCACCTTAGTAAAATTAAGCATTTTTTGCAGGGTTTGGTGTGTTTTTTTAAGCTGGCTGGTTTGCTTTGGCACAAGTGCAGAGCAGGGGATGGCATAAAAATAAAAATACTTTAACTTGGTGTTGTCACTGAGTTCTTTACACTCTGAAATCGTACCTTCAGTTTTCCAGTGAAGAGCTAATTGCTTCTGAAGAAAAAATCGCTCAAGTGGTTAGTGTCTCTGTGTTCTTTCTGCGTCTAATGTATCCTTCAACTACTGTGTAGTAGTTCCCTGTTTATCTTTCCTACTGTTCTAACTCCAATTTTGCACCTTTTTCTCATGGAAAACAAGCTAGTATTCCACAGGCTTCTGCCACGACCATCTTTTTTAGATGGGTTTGTAACGGTAAATTGAGAGAGACCTGAAACAAATTGTCTGATGCTGGAAAAAAAGATGGTGCTTAGTGGGTTTCTTTTCCAAGGATATCACCTGTCTTGTCTTGCTGGTGAAGGATGAGGGCTTTTTTAGTGGATGGTGCTGATGAGAAAAAGGAGATGGGAGCAGACTTGCATAGAAATTTGACTGCTTTATTTTTTTCTAAAATCCTGGAGGGATGCGAATATGATGAATCTCTAATCTGCTCCCATCCTATTTATTTGACTTGTCAGCTTTTTAATTCAAGTGTTTCAATCTGTAGGACTTGAATGAGGTTAATGATACTACATACAACTTGCAATAAGGGCCAGATGCAAGTGCTTAGAACAGTGCTGCAAGACCAGGGATGTACAAGATGGCCCTTCCCAAAGGAAACCTTCCTGACTTCCCACAATCGGTAGGGATTTTTATAATGCTACATCCTACCTAACACCATACAGTAGAGGTATATCAGCCTTCACTGAAACCTGTATTTATTTACATACATGCAGACACCCCATGCCCTGCCTTGCTTCACACACACACACACACACTCTCTCACTCTTTCTCTCACTAGATGACATGAGGTGGGTATACAATACCTACACATCAGACTGGTACTTTTCAGACTTGAGCTGCAAAACATATAGGGTTTACGGCTTATATTGGGATTTCTGCATTTACAAATCAGGATTTCTAAATTTCCATTCCAACAATTATCTCTCTTCCTTTCTCCCCTGCCCATCCCAACAATCATATTATATATGTTATGTACATGAATGAGTTAATACCTTGGGTTTCTTGCAGGAGTGCCGGCTGTATATTTGTTGAAATGATCCCGGGGCAGCCAATATTTGCAGGAACTTCTAGTACTCGTGAACAGCTGGCAAAGATCTGGATGGCGAGTAAAATATACCCTGAAATGGGAGAGAAAAAGAATCTGTTGCTCCAGCCCTCTACTTAATTTTGAAGTCCTAAGCATAGGTCCTGTGAATAGCAGAAATAATTTGGTCCAGTCTGCCAAGTTCATAGCAGACTTTGTAACCCATTTTATATTTGGCAACTTTCTTACAGACACAGGAGTAAATCAAATGACTTTCCTTTGATGTTTGTCATCTCATCAAAAATTTAAAGCCAATTAAAGTGACATCAAATTGAAGAAGGCATAAAAGGTGTGCAGGTACTGCAAATTCTATTCCTTCTTGTTAAATCCTTTACTTACTGTAGGATACAGCACACCATATTCTCACAAAGGAGCTCTAATACTGCTCTTAAACTACCTTGAAAATGGCGAGACCCTGAGATTTTTCAGAGATCCTTCTTCATTTTAACTTGGAACATTTTGTATCATCCAGTTTATGGTGCAGCCCTAGAGACTGCTTTGGCATAATGGAAAGTGTGAAATTACTTTATAAGACAGCAGTAAGTGATAGCAGACTTACTCAGGAGCCTCTTAAGGTGTTTTTTCTGCTGGGGAAACTGAAACACAGAGCCACATCCTTGGTGCGGCTTGGTAGAATTGAGGCAGTTAACAGCACTAGTGGATTCTGTATGTTCCTGACTGCTTCTTGCTGACCCTGTTACTGACTCTTCAGGAAGGTCAACCTACAGATTCCTGTTGGGTTTTTCTGTAGGTGTCTGCCCTTTCACATTTCCTCCCAGGGATTTACTCTTCTGCGTAGAGTGTTTCCCAAATGTGGGTATTCAAAGGAGAAAGTACAGAAAACTGAAATTTGGAAAGTGGTGAGAAAGGACTTCATGGTCTCAAGCCTGTGTAAGTCAGATTTTTCCTTCGTAATCCCTTCATCCAGAAACGCTCCTGCCTGGTGGGGTTATCCTTTCTGCTTTTAGCCAGAATGTGATAAAAAGACAGAGAAGTGGGTTCAGTTCTTAGACTTGAGTTCAGTCTATTTAAATAAATGCTGAATATCTCTTTCATAGAGAGTGAAAAAAAAAAAGAATTATTGAGAAAAAAAATAATCCGTACTTGGCCAACTAACAGGGTTCAAAGCCAGGGCAGGGTCCAGTTTCCCAGAGTGTGAATGAAGGGTATCCTTCCACTTATGGCTCTGAAATCTCTGGATACATTTCCTGTGGTTTTGCAGTTGGAGGGTTATAGCCCTATCATCATTTCTCTGGTATTATAACTCATACCGTGATTAATAGGATTTGTGCTATAGAAGGCAAAAACCCCTTATTTAAAAATCATGAGGAAGCTTTAAGAGCCATGAAATAATTAGTGCCTTTCACAGAAGGTTTTATGTTATTATACAGCCTGGAATGAGGCTCTGTGTTAGGCCAAGATTTCAAAGCTCCTTAGAGGCTTTCGATGCCTAACTTGAGATATTTTGCCGAGTGCAAGATTCAGCACGGGGATTCCTACTGTTTTCTAATAGTCAGTTCCTTTCATGTACTAATAATAGAGGCACCCTGCACTGGTTTAGAGACTGTCTGCATTTGTGGGCATGAGTCTATATCACCCAGCATGCTTATCTCCACGTAGGACTGTTGGTTCAAACACCGTATAGATATATAGCTGGAAAATCCCCATTCTGTGAAATGTGTTTGTCCGGTTGAATCATCGGGACTGACTGTCATTTCACCAACATTTCTTCCAGATGCAAGTGCCACCTTAAGCAGTCTCCATCCCCCATCTCTATCCCTGGCTGCTCATTCCTGCTCCTGTGTCACCCCTCACTTGTATGTGGGGCTACATGAACTGGGGAACCTGTTACTTGGTTTTCTCCCTGGGTTACTCTAAACGAGAACAGTTTATTTACGCAGTTCATCATCTGGCTGCACAAACAGTAGCACTAATGACCAGTAGTACTAATGAAGGGATGACACAGGAGCAGGACCAAATGGGAAGGGGGCAAAGAGGAAGGAGCTACTTAGGCTGGCAGTGCTGGTTATGGAAGTATGGCCTGAGTAAACGCGAACTGCAGTGTCTCCAGTTCCTCATGGCATGGAGAGTAAGCTAACCTGACAAACTTAAGATCCATCGTTCAAATTTCAAGAGATCAGGCATAGGTTTTGCATTCAAAAACTCCATCTTATTGATTAACATTGTGCTGAGAAGGACTTCATGTGGGCTGGATTAGGCTGCAGCATGCCACCAGCGTGCTTCTGTGGCTGAGCCAAATGAATGACTACAAGGCTTCTCTACAAAAACCATAAAATATAACTTCCCAACAAAACTAAGCAAAATCAGCTAGGTTGATTCCTCCATCTGGTCCATCACAGGAGAAGCAAGCAGTTAGAGGGCAGAGAGAGAGGACAATGATTTATACCAACTTAAAGCGCTTGCTGAAATACGGGCATTGTAAATATGTTTCTGTCTGAAATTATGCCTCTTCCAAAGTGGACTGAACTGAGCTGCACCAAGACCTTTCACTATACTAAAAAGTGCCTGCTTGGGGAAGCATGGCAGAGTAGCAAGTATAGGGAAGCTGTTTTGCTTTGCCTGATGGCATGGACCAGAGAGTTAACAGCTAGATTTAGGATGGATACACAACAGATAAAACAATCCCCAGAGTATAATTAATTTCAATTAAATAAATATAACTCATTGTCTGGTTTGGCAAGGAATCTCATTAAAAGTCCAGGGGGAAAAAAAGAAAAGAAAAAAAAAAATCACTTGCCCCATTATCTTGGAAATTCAAAAATAGATCCAAATTCATGGGATGGAATAGCATCTTTTGTAAGGAAAAGACTCAGAAAAGATAAATATAAATCCATATTCATATGGCATTCAGTGATTGGTGCTCTGAATGCTTTCACACCTCAACTCAGCAAAATTTAAGCATTTGCTGAAAACCTTATGTAGCAAAGTACAAGCATGCACAAAAAACTATTTTCTTAAATTCTTCACCAAAGACAGGCAGAGTGCTTAGCTGACCCTGGAGAGTATGATGTTACTATGTATTGAACTTCCCCAGCTCCCTCTGATGCCTTTAGGACTGATGCCCAATGGCTCACAAGAAACCTTGAAGAATGAGGGCCTAGACGAATGCAGGGATGGCACCTCAGAACACACACCTGGATTTTCAATGCAGAATATTTTAGAGGTTTTGCTGTGGCTTCCTGGAAAGCTAAGAGGGTAGCAAAAGAGAGCAAATTTTGGATTCAGGTTCAGATTCCACCTCTCTCTTTCCTGTGCACACAGAGTTGCTTTGGGCAGACCTGCCCTACTTACATGATACACCAGTCAAGAATGCATCCTCATCCAGAGCTGTCAGACTACCCTCAGTGCGAGCCACCTTCCAGCATCCTCACATGGCTGAACGCTGCAAGACACCTTCTCTTTGGGGAGCTTTCAAGCTTCCAAGACTGATTTGGGGCAGCTTCCAAGACTGATTTTACAGGTCCTACCCCTTGGTCTTTGCTGTGGTGGGCTGAATCCATAAGCAGTTTGGAAACATGGGCCACAGCAAGCCACCCTAGCTCGCTTTCCCCCACAGACCATCGTGCTAATATGTGCCAGCCATGAGATGCAGTCCCTGCTTGTGGCTGTCTTCTCCAGGTAGCTGTAATTGTCCTCACAGTTGTTTCCCAACTGTGAGTGAGAAAAGCAATTAGCTACCAGATGCATAACAACTACAACAGCCAGGCTTTATATTTCTTCCTTCTTTAATGTATTTTTTTACTGATGCCTGTTTTCTTGTAATCTTATCACAAGTTTCTGTGAGGCCAAGTTCCCCATATCACAGATCTCAGCTTTCATTTTAAGGAAAAGGAATTGTCTATCATATGCAAAGTGTAACTAATGTGAGACGAATCTAATGTTGGAGAAGAGAAAGTGAATAAAAAACCCTGACATTTTTCATGTTAAAATTTCACCGTTTTCTAAGGAAATCTGATAATTTTGGGGGTTGTCTGGATGATAAGCTTTGAATGCTTGGAGTTAGCAGTACTGATTTATAATACCATATCACATGCTGTGAACTCTTCTTAAATATGTGGCTTTACCTCTTTAGCACAACTCATCCATATCAATAGGCAGAAAGCACTTTGCATGTGGTAAGTAGTAATAATAACACTAAATATCTGCAACTGCAACCGGCACAGAAATCCAGATATGCTTGATCTCACGCATTTCAGCAACTAAAATGAGGTTGGAGGAGGCTTTACTGGCCCAGACTTTGCTCAGTGAGGACCTACTTCTGAAGTCCACAATTCTTAATAAAGGTCAAATACACTGCTGAAGCTCTGGACCATTCAGGATGAGACACTGGACTGCTTTCTAGCACCTGCCAGTAGACCTGTCTGCCAGCTTTTCTTTTTCACCTCAGAACGGCAGGGGTTCCTATCACAGCTCACAGCCTGTGCTGCCGCTGAGCGTATCGGCTGCTGCCAGGGCAAGTGGGCAGAGTAAGTCCCCAGTGCAGCTCTGGTGCAGGAGGACATCTTCAGCGGCGAAAGGGGCTGAACAATGTGACCCCTGGGCTGGCAAACACATGCAGGAGTGGCACCTGGCAGTGAAGCTGCATATGCCTTCGTAAGCAGCAACAACATTCAATCTCAGCAGGACCCTTTCTGCTATAAAATCAAGTGCTAAAATGTCGGTGTCCTTTATGTGCAGTGGTAGATCCAGCACCAGCCAGGGCAGTGTGAATCTGTGCTGGTTTACAGTAAAGGCCGCAGTCTCTCTCCATTGAGACCGATTCCTCCAGCTCCACACCTAGGCAGGGTACTGGCAGACAGAGGTTACTGCTCTTCTCACTTTCTTTCTTCTTTTGCACAGGTATTGGGGGTCCCAACTGAGGACACGTGGCCAGGACTTTCCAAGCTCCCCAGCTATAACCTGGGTAGGATTTAACCCACAAGAATGCCAGCTTTTTCTCTGAGCCACTAGCCACTTAATTTTTGGGGCAGTAATTCTCATTATGAAAAATCCTGTGCTTCAGTGTTACTAAATCTCTTGAGCTACTTAACGATAGTGGTGGTGTAGCTCCTACAACAACACTGGGATTGGCCTAGGATACAAGCAAAGGTACATGCGTGGCAAAGTTGCCTCACCGAGCGCTGGGTATATGTTAAGCTGATGGAAGATTTCATTGCTGCAAGTGCTGACAATGTAGTTAGTCTCCACTCCTCAGTGCAAAGGACAGATGTCTCCTGATTTAGACTGGAAAAGCTGACAGATACCTGGAGACACAGTTTATCTGAACTCTCCTTATTTTTATGGAGATTGGTTTGGGGGCCTTTAAACCTCAGTTTTAAAGGTCACTGTCCCTGATTTTGATGTGGGCAAGGTGAGAAATCTGTGTGATTTATAAAGCTGGCTTCTTTTATTTCCACATGGGCTGGTAGAGAAGTCTGTGTCCGGGACTTCAAAGGGCCAGTTGTCTCTTATTTTGATGTGGGCAGGTTGAGAAGTATGCTTTGAAAAGCTAGCTCAGTCACTCTCCCTCTCTCTCTCCCCCTTTCTCTCTTTCTCTCTTTTTGTTTAATGTTTTCTCTTGGGAAAATATATTCAAGTGTCAGTGAGGAGGAAATGATGAGCACTGATTCTCAGCCTCTCAGCAGGATCATTCTCTAAGAGAAATATAAAAGTGAAATATTAAAAACCCTAGAATGTGAAATCCACCCATCTACAATCTAGCCATTCTCTCTCACTTACACCTAAGAGGGTGGTGGTGGGAGCCTGTCTATCTGGAAGGGGAAAAAAGAGCAGGGGGGAGAGGAGGAGGGAGAAGACGTGCTTTGAGCAAGAGGTTTACAGGTTTAGTAGAGCATAGTAACATCTTTTCAAAGAAGTGGGTGTTGCTCTGTGACCCAGTCCAAGATGCCCCTCCTTTGATTCTGGTGCATGAACACTAAACAGCCCCCATTTTCACATGGTAGCCGCGATTGGCTGAACAATAACCTGGTCTCACAGTCAAAAGGACTGGAATCCTTCACACAATTAGCTGAGACACATTAATCAAACCAGCGTGAAATGGGAATGTGTCGCTGTCCACAGCAAGTTTAATTTGGATAGGGAGCAAGCACAGAGCAGACAGCTGGAGGAAGCGCATTCTTCTGTAAGTCGCTGAAGGCTTGGCTGGGTAGTCTACAAGTTGGGAAGGGTAGTCTGGGAGGAAAGAAATGCTCGTGTGTGGGACAAACTGATCACAAAGAATTTTTTTTTATGCCAGTCATCTGCTCATACGAGGCCAAAAACTCTCAGTGATGATGGTTAGGTATCCCAATGCTATACAGAGGGACAACCTAAAAGTGCAAGCATTAAGGCTACACTAGCAAAGAAACTAGTACAGAAAACAGAGAATGTGTGAGTGCCCAGAACTGCCCTGAGCGGTGACTCCTACTTAGCTCTATTTTGTCTGAGTAGCAGTGCTGTCCTCTGCGGCTGTGGAGGGTGCCAGTGGCAGGGCTGGGAGGGAGAGGACAGGCACCTAGGCAGCATGGAAATAGCTCCAGTAAAGACAAGTCTAGTCATCATAAGCAGTTTTCAAGTCTGATTTGCTTTCAGGCTTGATAGAACATTTCCCTAATGGACTCCAGTGGGGCAGAATTGACCTGTGCTGTGCCGTGATCCTGTGATGCTGGTGCCTTTTGTGGCTAGAGCAGACAGAAATGCAGGAGTTAGAGGACATCTTCCTGTGGGAGCATCCCACTATGCTAGCAAACACATGGGAGAGGGGTGCTGAGCCACTGTTTGGGGCAATAGCTGTGCCAGCTGGAGAGGCAGCATCCCTTTCCCCTCCTCAGAGCCTGCCTAAGGAACTCCGAGCTGCTCCAGCCACATACTGGAACCAAGCACTTGGCTCACACCTGGATTATACAAACCAGCCTGGATAGAAGAAGATTAGTCATACAAGGTTGGACTATTTGCCCTAGTCATGAACTAAATCAAGTCAGTCTTTGATGGGGCTGCTGGTAAGAAGGCAAATTAGTCTCTTTGTTTAATGCTATTTGCCGTTCACATGCTCCTGTGCACTTCTCTCTTCCCTGAAGCACAAGTGCTGTTCCCCCCCCCAGGACACGCTCAGCCAGAGTGGAAGCTGTGGAGTCTGCCTGAGAAAACCTTCTCTCTTGAGAAGCCCAGTTGTGCGAATCTGAGTGCCTGGGATGGTTCAGATAAGCAAACAAACTTTGGAGCACTTCCCCAAATCTGATGGCTTGAATGCTTTTAGCTAGTCCTATTGATGTTCGCAGTGAGCGCAGGCAGCAAACAAACAAACAGGTTTCTGCCCGAGGCAAGGAACGAACACGGGCAAAACAAAGCACTGAGGTGTGATCCTATTCTCATTGAAGCTGATGGCAAAAATCCCACTGGATTCAGCAGTGTAGGCTCAGCCCGACTGACGTTACTGGAAGGGTTCCTGGGCCAGGTGGGTTAGCAGGAATCTTTGAAATGAAAGCTGGAAACCTTTAGATGTTTTCCTGTCGCTATTGTGGGCTCGAGCACATCCTGCTGCGGAGTCTGAAGAGGAGATACAGCATGGGCTGTAGGGTCTGTGAGCCAGGCACACACAGGGCAGCTAGAGGAAGAGCAGCTCCCCTGCCCCCTCTATGGGCAACTGGCAGGGGATGAAATGTGCAAAGGAGTATTTGACCACCCTATGCCCCTGTGCCTTCTTGCACAAAGAAGTTCAGAAATGGGCCTCATGCCCATTGCCTACAGTTTGCCAAAATCTCAAACCTGTGCCTGACCCCAGGTGAACAGGAAGGATGGGTGAGCAACTCTTCCATGGCCAGCCCTACAGCAGCCATGGGGCCGGAAAGCATGGTTTTACCTCAGCCCTGGCTTGAGAACCAGTTCTTGCAGAACATGAAGGGGTGGGGGAGCTCCTGCCCCACGTCTCAGCGCACTCGCTGGCCCTCTCCCTGGATCCCCGGGCTTAGGAGCCCTGCCCATAGCGACAAGGCTTTGCCCTGTGTTTGTTCATTTGTTCTGTTCCCCTCATTTTGCTTCCTCTGAAAGAGGCAGTTGTAGCTCTGTTAACACTATTTTTGAAAGCTCTCATGCTGTGTGAGCTCAAATCCTTGCATTAATCTACTGCTGTGTTCATTTCACTGCACTGAAAAGCAGGGAGTTTAAATCCCCTCTAAACACCATTGGTGACACCAGAAGGCCAGTGTTTTGATCCAGCCCCATTAATGGTTACAAGTTTGAATCTAGACAGCAGGGGTCAAGGGCAGGAAAGGATTAGGAATCACAGCCCGTGACATTAAGCTAGTGCTTTTGCCAAACTGGGAATACTGGAGCGCCCAATGTACCGAGTTGGGTTTTGTTTCCTTTTTCTGACATTTGGATTCCAAAGAGTGGGGAACAGTGCTTATTTGTTTAAAACATGATAAACTCGCTATGAGTGAGCTTTACTCCTTGATTTATCACACAGGTTGACTAATGAAATTTCCTATGGCAGGTAGTATCATCTCACTTAGCAGACACAGGTTTTACACTGGGCTTTTTCAGTTGCAGCAATGGCTTTTAAATTAAGCCTAGTTTTTCACATATCTGCAGGCTTTGCTACGCTGAATGAGATTTAGAAGCTTTCCAGAGTCAACTTCTGATCCCGAGCACAGGTTTTTAGTATCTGTTGCGTTTCCAAAATGTCACCAGCAGATGGAGGCAACAAGCAGCAGGCTCTGAAACGCAAACTTAAAATGACATTTTTGAGAATGCAGATGAAGTCTGCGCTCCGAGTGCTTATTTTTTTCCCTTCTTTTTTTAATCTCACTTTTTATGCTGATGCTTCATTTAACAAATGGGATGGTTGGAAACTGAATTCTTAAACGATGAAATTTTTATTGTCATAATAAACCGCGTGTGGCTTTGATCCCAAAGGGAAGAGCAGCACCGTAACTAATGCGCAATATATGCTGGCCAGGCTGTAGGGAAACTTCCTATCTGTCTGGCACTGGGCACACACTGCAGTTTCCAGCCTGCCACACAGACAGAGCTCTGCTTCTGTCCTGCAGCCACAGAGATTTCACTAATGAGAGAAATTTTCTCTGTGAGCCTGCAACCCCAGCGCCTTCATCCAGCAGCACTTGGCATCCTCTTTCTTTCTCTTCATCAATTAGGAAAGTTTAACTTTTGTCCTCTGGCTTGCTTGCCTCATTATCAGTTCATTAGCCATTTCCACCTGGGTTTTCATATAGGAAGGTATTTCCTTATTAGCACACACTGCCTTGCATACAGATAGAAAATAACAAACCCAAGCGCTACCTTTCAGATCTACTTGTATTGTTAAAAAAGCCAATCAGCCCTACACAATCCCATCATTTTATGTCTGTATCGTCATTGTAAGATGATTAAATCAGTAGTTTATCCACTTTTTGGAATGATATCCAAATATTCTTTATCTTTTACCTTCAAGGAGTTGCTGTTTACGTTGTTTTACAATTTTAGATTGGTCTTAATCTTACAGTAGTAAAATATTTACTGCTCTGTTCTTACCCTGCTCGACACAATGGGGCCTCGGCATTGTCTAAGGGTTTGTCTATATGGGGTCAGTCAGGAGATTAATCTGAACTGATTTAAAGTGGATTAGTTAACTGCATTAAATCCTTGGGCAGAGACACACTGTTTTCTTACCCATATCTTCCATTTATAATCAAAGCTCTGTATACTCGAAGTGGCAAGTTTGGCAGTCCTCACTCAAGCAGAATTCTCCACTGAGAGATGTGTTTGGACAGGGATGGCAGTAGTTGGCTCACTGGCTCTTACACTACCCCTTGTAGATAATTATTAATCTCCATGTTATATAAATGATAAATTTAAGTCAAGAGGCTTGCTTAAGACAGCGAAGACTGTAATTCGGGTATTCCTCCCAGTTCCCAGTAAGCAAGCTGATACTTCTGTCTGTAATGTAAAGAAAATCCTATTTCCTCTTTGGAATGTTAATCCTGAAAATGCACTCCACAAAAACAAAGTGACATTTCACTTAGATATCATTGAAGCATTTTGCCCTGCTGTTATCAACTGAACGTGCATTTTTTAACTTTCATGTTAAACTCATTAAAGAATATTAATGTTAAAAGATTTCAGTAGAGTTAAAGTACAATATTTAAGTCATCTTGACATTTTTATTAAATATTAAAGGAAATGGATATATTGTCATGGAATGTTTCCATCTCACAAATCAAAATTTTCTGGCAGAAAGTTACAACATCTCAAAGTTTTTGGCCAGCCCTGCAAAGAGGTAAAAATTTCTACCTCATACAAAAAAATCTTATGCCTTTCCAAACCATTTTTAAAATTGTTTTTCTGCTATTCTGCCTGGAGACTTTACATCTCTACTCAATATGGACAATTTATTTCTACACTTTTATTACAGTCGAGGGGGAAAAATGAAGGAAAGAGGATCCAGAGAAAATGTTATTAGTGATCCAAGAGGAATGTTCTGCCAGAGTTAATCTCGGTGACTGATTTGGGAAGGGGCTATTCAAGATACTAATATATAACTTCTATATATTGGCAATAATTCCAGTGATCTGGCACCTAGAGAGTCATGAATCCTGCCCCAGGTTATATTGCCATTTACTGCTTTAGCAATTACCTTAGTATTTGGGTGTAGGAGAACACTTCAATTGTGAACTGTTACTTACCCTGTGATAGACAGGTTTAACAACCTGCTTGCCTGGCTTAATGGTGAAAGATTGCTGTCGGAAAGGTTAAGTGCTGGAAGTTCAGTCATTTGCACTTTTTCAAATTGTCTGTGCATCAAGTCAGACACTGAGTGACTTAGCCCCTGGGCCTGGCACTCTGGAAATGGCCACGCAGGCGAAGGCAGAGGGGACTCCCGCTTTGCTCACAGCTGGCAGCTTCTGTCCCTGAATGATGTGGCTGGTGCTTCTGGGCAGGAGGGGAGGGCAGATGCTCTTGGATGGTACAGCATAAGCCCCAGCCGAGCTCAGAGTCTACTGGCAACAGACCAGTGGTGCTTGCCTCCTGGTGGTCTCGCTGCCGCGGGGAATGCTTGTCCGGGCTGGGCTGGAAGAGAGGTCTACAGCACCCTTCCAGCTCTCCTTTCCATGGCTAGAGCACTGTTCACCTCTGCTGTCAGAAATGGTGCTCGGGAAAATATATCTGGGTAGAAATTACAGCCTTTCTGATGCAAGAAAATGTCTGTGTTGATCAGCTCTAAGGTGAAATCTTCCAGGCTTAAGCCATTCATTCATAGCTAAGCCTGAGAAAATTCATGCTTTGTAAGAAAACATCTGAGGAATGTATTCCGCTACATTTTCCACAATGTTTAGAAATGTGTCCTTGAAAAATGGCAACAACACCACAGCCTTCCCAAAACTGCAAACTCTGCAAAGTTCCAGTCTGGTAGAGATTTTTGAATCAGTAAGTACAAAGCCTGCATGAAAATGGTTAACTTGATAAACAACAAACTTAGTGAGGGATTGACAGCAAGAGCAGTGGGCAAGAAGAGAGTGGGACCCAAGTGCCTTTGCTCTGTCCCCAGTCTTTCTGCCAGATCCATGCAGAAAAGCCCCATGTGCCCACAGGGCAACACATGAAGCTCAGCAGCCCCTCGGTAAGCCGATTGCTGGGGAAACAGGCCTGCAAACCTCTTTCCGCTTCCTTCATGTGAAGGGTTTAGGGACTGATACTGCTTTTACTGAAGTCAGAGCTAAGACTCGCACTGTAACAGAAGGAGGCCCAGGGCCTGTATTCACAGATGTATGAAAGGAAAGGGTTACAGAACTGGAACCGCCTTATTAACATCAGTGCTGGTACTCAAGTCCTATAGGAATAATGTATATTTAAAAATACTATGATGACAGATTGTATAGGGCCCTTTGAAATTCTGAGCACACATTTTTTTAAGGGCTCAAAGAATGGTTTTTGGCTTGATTTTCATTTAATCCTGTGATTGCATATTACACTTTCTAGAACTGGTTGCTTCCAGGAGACCTCAGAGACTCCAAGTGATCTGTGACAGGTAAGCTACCTATAACGGCAATGTCAAAATCGCCTCTGGGTTTATTTGTTTCTTTATGCAATCATTTAACTTGAAATGAGCTCTTTTGGCAAGCTCAGGAAGAGCAGGGTGGCTCTGTAGTAACAAGCAGATCTAACATCAGTTAAGCAACAGATTTCGAGAGATCGCAGTAGAGGTAGGCACATAGTGGACTGGAGTCACTACTACATAGGAATCACTACTACAAGAGGAGTGATTATTCTCAGATAAGCAGTGATTCAGTGACATTATGAGCCGCTTTTTGCGGGGCACAGATCAATTCAGAAGGTCGTACTTTCCCAGGCCCTCTTGCCTAGACTGAAGACAGACTTTGCACTGTCCCAATTTTCACTTCTGGAAACAGACTGTAGGAACGTTGCTCAACAGTGGTAAGGAAGACGTGCTAGGACAGCATTTTCACGAGACAATGAAATAATCTTGTGATTAGTTAGGAGGGGAAAAATCACATTCTTCAGTGGCCAAAAGCTATGAGACTAGGGCCATGGTTACATACCTCGGCTTGACCAGGCACACCAACACCGCCCAATCACTCCCCAGTGTACTAAGAGAAGGGAGTATTTTTCAAGCATATATATGTACACGCACGCACACAGATACATAATGTATATATGTATCAGTGAAAGAAATTTATAATCAGGCAAAGTGCCCTAACCTAGCTCAGAGAGTCATTAAAATTGAATCCCCCCCAATACTGATTTTGAGGCATACAACAGGCTTTATAGATATGTAGGAAAAGACTAGACAGGATTTGTCCTCAGAATTGTGTTCCTGCACACGTCAAGAATCAAATGTTCTTTGAGGACGTAACCACATTTTTCATCACTGCTGTTTATTATCTGTTCAGCTCATTGCTTGGGATCCAGCCCTGCTCGGAGGGAAGTGTGCAGCCCTTCAGAGCTGGGTTTCCCAGACGCTGTTCTGAATGGCTGAACAAACATGGTGAAGTTTTCAGCAAAGCACAGGTTGCTGAAATGCAAGCCATTGTCACGCACATCTTCAGAAACACACAAAGCTCAGCATGTCCCAAACCCTGATAACACAGGTCCTGGAACAGAACAAATCCTCTCTCAGCCTAAACAAAGAAATAACTATATTCCTTGCAACTCTGCTGTACTGCACTTCTGCTTTTTGGCCATAATCCCTTGACAGGCCCCATTACAGCCCCATACTGATGGGCTGGCCCAGTACCTCTGCAGCAGAGCTCTGGGCTGCATGTGAGCCAGCTCCAACTCTGTGTTACAGAGTCCTTATGCCAGTATGGCCAAACGGCTTGCCTTGGCATGCTCGGCTCTCAAGAAGGGAAGAGCTGCTTCATACAGACCGCTCAGCCATGACTCTCCATGGCCAATTAAGAAATCAAAGGGGAGCTCTGTGCAGAGCTCGGCCATCACCAGGAAGCCTGAGCCATGGTGGGAAGCACCGAACCATGTTGCTGCCCAGCGTGGGAGCCTGCAGCACCAGGGACCAAGGGGGCAGAGGGTCTCCAGTAAGACCCTGCCAAGGCAGGGCAGCCTGTGGTACAGCTCTAGCAAGCAGCCTCAGGCTGGGCGCTTTGGCTCCCTATCCCATCCCTGCTCCCCAAGGCAGCAGGGGCTTGAACTATTTTGCTGGAGGTAAGAATTCAGCAGTTACCTACCACAGTGAGGTATAAATCTGTTTCTCAGGATCTCTCTCTCTCCATGTGTTTTTTCCCTTCTTTTTTTTACATTTTATCTCCTCAGAACAAAAATGTCAGCATGTCAAATGTCCTGTGTAGGGAGGGGGAGTGCAGGGGCAGGGGGATCCTGGCACCTGATGTCACTTGGAGGGGAAGCACCGGTGGGGGCCAAGGGAGGAAGCACAACAGGCTGTGCTCTGATGGGCCTCCTGATGCTGAAACATGATCAGAACAAACAAACAAAGTAAAAGCTGTAAAACTAAATGACTATTTTTATTTGTTTCCTTGTTGGTTTGTTTTCTCTCTTCCACTTCCTTGTCCCCAGCTGTGTGCTCCTCTAGAAAGCAGCCACTTGGCACTGGTATTTGCTGGGCATGGAGCATGTGTGTATTACATCTATTTTAAGCACTCATCCTGAGAAACAGATTCATCTCCGTGAATCCTCAACACATTTTACAACCAGCTGCACTACTGGTACTAGGGTAGGAAAAGGGGAAATGGTATTTTCTTTAGTTTTTTAGTTTTGACCTCTGGTCTGCTCAGCGGGCCAGTCAGGTTATTTTGTGCACTTGCATTGTCACTGTACACTGGTGACACCAACCTCTGACATTCCAGTTACAACATGTAAAATATAGTCTCCTCAGCAGCATTTTCCCTTTTACTTACAACGTTCTTTTTACAAAGTAACAATTTATTTTCAAAATTCCTCTGAAAACATGAGTTTGAGTTGAAATCCTGGATGCATATACTCCAACATAATCAAACTCACATGGAAAAGCAAATGTCCTGGAAAGCTATATAGCTGGAGTGGGTTTATCCAGCTCCCCTGTGTCCCTCCACTATCTCTCCCGCAAGCTTTGAGAAGGGCTGGGTCAAGTTCTGGTTCCAGCTTTCTGGCTTGTGCTCATCTCCTATGCTATTTTTTCTCCTGTTTTCCTAGGCTGAGCAGGGTGCCAGCAGTGGAGGATTTGGTCTCCAGGATGCTTACAGCCTTCCCTTAAGGCCAGATCTCTGTGCAAGATGCACTTCTTCACGGCTTCTTCAGCCCTCTGCCTCCTTAGCTCTATCAGGTTCCTGCTGGTAAGTTAACTCTCAATTTAATCTCACCAAGAAAGAGCTACTTCACATGCTATTTATTATGAGTTTCTTCTGTACTTTGAAAGTCTCTGCCATTCACCCAGACGTCTCTTTTCCGCCTGCCCTCCCTCCCCACTCCTGTATGCTGCAAAGTGTACATCCCATTGCAAATTTGACAGCTTGTTTTTTCTGTTTTCTTCCACTTGACCACAGTGTTAATACTAGAAGGGGACCTGGATGGGCTGCCACCACAGTACATTTACAAAGTGGAGGTGTATATCCTTTGACAGGTCGTTTCTCCCCCATTCTGTAACCCCAGGGGCCCAGAGCTTTCCCTCGGGTGGGCTCATACTGTGTATTCAGTGTAACTCACACGCTGGTCCCTCCTGATGTCCTGAATCCCCAGCTGCTCAGCATGATGTGCTAGCCCCAATTCCCTTGGACCGCTCCTCCTGCTCCCTTTTGATGTTCAGAGACAACAGCTGTTCCTCATACCCTGTCGCACCAGTTCTCCCTCAGTTTTACCTGCTTTATTTTCTTCTTCCCTTGCTCCCTTCTCTTAAGCACACAGCTGCATACACACAGATCTGCCTCTCCTGCCCTGAGCTGACAATAAACACAGGGTCTCTCAAGCTACAGGTTCTGTTCCTCACTAGGAAAAGCTCCCTCCTATTGGGCAACAGGCCAGAGAGCCCTCGCATTCCCTGTTGCCTCCTGGGCACCCACTACACTAGTTAGTTTGGTGGTTTTTTTTAAGATAGGGGCAATTAAGAAGAAGCCTTCTTGGACTGTGTTGTCAAGCTATTTGAAAACTTAATTTCTGGCTCCTGCGACACATCCCAAGTGAAGGAGCAGCCAGCTAGCATCTCTCCCAAACCGCCGCCCTTCAGAAGGTGCTCTGTGTGTGTATGTATGTGCATGAGTGAGAGACATCTGCATTCCTTTTCTGTTCACCCAGCCACAGAGCACAAATCTACTTTGACACTTTTAGAAAAATGAAAAGATGGAATCTCGCAGGAGCCTGCCTGTGCCGAGGGGGGGGAGGAGGGGAGCACACACAGCAGGAGGGAAGTTGACTTTTCTTTATACATATAGGGTTTTTTCCATGCAGAGTTTAAATTATGCCTGATAAAAGGAGTTTCGTGGATGTTTCAGTTCTTTCAAACCCTCCTGGCTTCCTCCCAATTAAATGAGGTTTGTCAAAGCCACAGGGCTCTGCTGCTGCCGGAGAGGCGGACAAGCACTTCCCGCAGTGACATCTCCAATCCCCAAGGGAGAAGATGAAAGTGTCAGTGCCGAGAGAGAGAGAGAGTGGAAAAAAACAGGTACAGAGACAGACAGTGTGAGAGAAAGGGAGAGAGTGAGGAGAAATAGAAGGAATGAGAAAACAGATTGGCATAATGTGTCAATCTCTCCGACACGCTGCCAGAGAGGGGACAGATTCATTTCACCTGGGTTTATGCACCATCCCATATTTGTTATCCCCCATATTGCGGCAAGAAGTACCTTGTGGACAGGAAACTGCATGGCGTTATCATAGCAACCAATGTGTTGGGAACAGAATCAAAGTGCACAGGGCTGAAACAAGTACAGTATGATCATGCAAGACCATATTCATAAGTGACTCATTAAGCCTGTAAAAATTAGGCAATTCTGAATAATTTCCCATGTAGCCATCCCTATTGCCATAATCGTGTAAGACATTTGTTCTCTTGTGTCATTTTGGCATCACACTATTTTGGAATTTAACTGTATAATTTTAAAATTCTGGTTGCTATGATAACACAGTGCAAATTTTAAATATATTCTGTTCCCACTTTGTTCTGGAGGATGCTGGCTATTAGTCCCCATCCTCTGAAGGAGAAAGTTAAAGCAGAAAGGCAAAGAATGAACTGGAGATGAAAGGTGAAAGGAGGAGGGGGTTGATCCCAAAGTGTGTGAGAGAGTAAGCAGGAAACAACATTTGAGCAAATAAAAGGTTCCCGTAAGAAATTATTTTCTATTTTTATGAAATAATTGTAGCCATAACTGTCCTTTTTATAAGTTGCTATGACAAGCTGGAAGCCAGAGGATGTTTTTCAAAGGTCAATTACTGGGAAAAAATGATTGGAGAAATCAGTGTTTCGAAGGTAAGTACCCCTCCAAATAGTGTGTTTCTCATTACTGAGGGGAATGCTAAAGGCTAGAGGCTGGCTGCTCCCCCTGAGAAGGGGGAGAGGGAACAAGGGGCTCTTTGCTTCCTGGCGGTCAGCTCCTGCAGAGGAGAACAGGTTGCTGTTGCTTATGCTCATCTGGATGCAAAGTGCTAGAAAAAACGAGCAGCCCACGCTGTAAGAGAGGAAGACTCTCTGTCCCTGAGTGGGGCTGGTCCACAGATGGGCCTCTCCTACAGCTGCTCGATCCTGTGCCTCTAGCGCTAGAAGGGGCTGCTAAGGCCCAGGTTCAAACCCCACTCATTGTCTTGGTGGCCTTAATTCTATACACGCCACCAGCACTGCTGGATATGGCAATGAAGGAGAGGAGCATGGGATTCTCTAGTTTCCTTCTACTGTGGCTAGTAGCCTAAGGGATGGCAGTGATGACCTTTCGTAAAACTGGAGCATTTGCTGTCCTTTTTCTGGCCTAAGCCAATCCTGAGACAATTATCTTTGTGCAGTGCAGTCCTGCACTACAGCAGCTCTGATAAAACTTCAGTCTAACCCTTTGCCACCTGCTAAAGCAGAATGTTTTCTGTCCAATTAATCACTCCTGGAAGAAAGATGAGATCCTTGAATCAAGAAAGCATGAGCTGTGCTCTCAACTCATTGTCAGTCCTGAAGTGTAAAGGGTCTTCTAGGAAGGTATCCCACTCTGCTGTCAGACAGGTCAGACACAGTAACAATTGCAGCTTATTATTCTTAGTTATAGACTTGGTTTATTTTCTCTCTCTTTTGCCCTCGAATGCTTTAGAGCAGGCTCGCAAGCAGGGAGGGTGAGCAGTGGGATTTGGGGTTAGTACCAGTGTGCTCCCAAAAAAACATATTGCAAGAAGAGCTCTGGCCAAACAACCCAGGCACACGGGCCAGGGAGGCCTGAGCTGGCACCTCAGATCCTGTTCCCATCGGACCGATGTCCAGGCTCAGTATAGACCTTTCTCACAGTTCAGGAGACATTTGACCCTGGGCATACCATCAGCACAGCAGTTAGTTAGTTATCAAGTCCAATTTGTGCTCCGTGAGGAGGACTGTATGTTGCGTGGATGTGATCGTGGCTTTGACTAGGAGGGACTTGGTCCTTTTTGGGTACGGTTGGTTTCTGGTTGTTACCTCCCCCCAGCAATTCAAAACCAGTGTGCCAGGTGGTGATGACACTGTACCGCTTCTCCTAAAACAGCCCGCTTTGCAGCTTTTCAGAGACAAGGAGGAGGAGGGAGGCTTGATGTTGACAGAGCACTGTCATTTTAATGCCTGTTGCAGCTAAACTAATGCAAAGCAAGTGTAGGCAATGAGGAGGTTAAGGCTGCAAGCCATTGCCTACCAAAAATCCCATTACTGTTGGGATTGGCCAGTGCTGGTAGATGTTATCACAGGGCGCATATAAAGAAGAGCTAGCTTTCATGGACATCTTGTTTGGCTTGGCTGCTTTCCCTAGGTTCTCCTACGTAGCTAAAAGGTTTATATAGTCCCTTACATTTTTTTTACCTCTGTGCTTTGCCACCTCTGTATACAGCACATGGATATCCTTCACTGCAAATCAGATACAGACACCTGGAAAGTGAAGTTCCCACCAGGTGTATGAATCTGGTTTATAATGTGTCTTAATAAGGGAATAAACCAAAGTTGGTGTTGAGCAGCAAATCAGCTGTCACTCCTGAACCAGAAGCAGTCTTTTCTGTGAGGTGATAAAGCAAATCTTCACTTAACTCGGGAAAAACACCCCTCACTTCACCTGGCCTGATCTCCACAGTGGTGGAAGGTCTGCTTGCATAAATACTGACAGGACACTGAAGTTTTGTATTATGTCATTAAGCCACCATGCTAGGAAAGAGCCATTGCAACATCACAGCAGATGCGTGCCAAGGGCACGGGCCTCTGGAGCTGTTGCCCTGCTTAAGCTCTTCCCCGGGCGCCGGCTTGGAGCAGACATCGTGCTGGCAGGTGCTGGGCCCTGTTTAGGAGCACAGGGCGAAGGGGAAGATGGGAAAAGAAGGAAGGTTTCCTTTGCTCACTCCCCAGCTCATGCTCTTGCAAAAGCACAACTGGCGCAAAGTTTGGCCCACATGACTTGTGGAAACAAAGTCCTACAGACATGGATCAAATGCTCTGACTCCCATTGAACTCAGGCCAGAGAATCTCTATAAAGGTCTTATTGTTCAGGGAGATGAACTGCTCTTGGGGGGGAGTGCTGTTAATACCCTTCATGGAGGCAGACGCTATTGCATCAGAGGTTAGCAGACATTTTTCTGTATTTTGTCTAATTGCAAGTTGTATCTGAAGTTTCTTTAACTTCCACTTTCCCTTTAACACTCTTAAATGCAAATCTGAGAAGATTTAGTTGTCTTGTTTGCTGTGAAACACATCCGGACTGGAACTCCCATGTTTGCCATCCTCAGGTGCACTTCTGCCTTCACCCAGTTATCAGCAGAAAAGAGCAAATGGGGGTGTAGTGATCAGATTTCTAAGGCACAAAAGTTAAAGCTAAGTTTGAGATTGTGACAGCAAGCAACCATGAGCCTAGGAACTCAATTAGCCTGAAAGACAACTATCTCATTATCTTTCCTAGAATGATATAAATACATAAGAATATAAAAATTTAAAATAAACTCTCTCTCTATTGACTGTCTAGATGACTGAATTTCACTGCTCAATTTCTTTAAACACCCACTTTAGTATTTATTTATTCTAAGCGTGAAGCAGCTACAATAATTAGACTGTCAGATTTGGTAAGTTAATGAGGAGTCACTGGAGTGGAAGGTTTTGCATTTGTGAGATTGCTGAAGGAGAGAAGCTCCCTGCCTTCGCTCTATCTCTTTTTTCTTTTTCTTTTTTTCCCCCCTCTGCTGGGTGGGAAGGAGAGAGCTTGGCAGTGCGTAGATCCATTTGAATCCTTTTGATTAGCGGGTTGCATTCCCACCACTGTTCTACCAATAATATTTTGCTGGTTGCTCCAAGAAAAAGAAAAAAGAAAAGAAACCATAGATGAGATTTCTAGAGAAGGGTGCCTAGATTAAAGAAATCATTTTCAAAAAAATTCAGAAGGAACGGACCTGTGAGAAATAGGATCCTGAATTAGTTTATATTGTGGCTAATGTCACAGGAGAGCATTAGGAAAGTAGCACAGTGAAGGAGAAGGACCATTTTGCAGCTTTCTCTTTAACCCGATTTTTCCACAGGACAATCGGTGCTCACAGTTCCAGGAGTGAGACTGCAACCTGAAATCTGTGACCTCTTTGCTTCTTACTGAAAAGGCCATCTCTCAGGAGGTTCAAGCAAGTTTTGGTAGAAAGGAGGGATGATTGGCTAATTCTTGGCTAAGCGCATAGTTGCCACTGTCAAAGCTGCAGCCATCATCCTTAGCATATGAATTCCTTTGTTTATTGAAGGGTCAGATTCTGTAAGTTAATGAGGAGTCACTGGAGTGGAAGGTTTTGCATTTGTGAGATTGCTGAAGGAGAGAAGCTCCCTGCCTTCGCTCTATCTCTTTTTTCTTTTTCTTTTTTTCCCCCCTCTGCTGGGTGGGAAGGAGAGAGCTTGGCAGTGCGTAGATCCATTTGAATCCTTTTGATTAGCGGGTTGCATTCCCACCACTGTTCTACCAATAATATTTTGCTGGTTGCTCCAAGAAAAAGAAAAAAGAAAAGAAACCATAGATGAGATTTCTAGAGAAGGGTGCCTAGATTAAAGAAATCATTTTCAAAAAAATTCAGAAGGAACGGACCTGTGAGAAATAGGATCCTGAATTAGTTTATATTGTGGCTAATGTCACAGGAGAGCATTAGGAAAGTAGCACAGTGAAGGAGAAGGACCATTTTGCAGCTTTCTCTTTAACCCGATTTTTCCACAGGACAATCGGTGCTCACAGTTCCAGGAGTGAGACTGCAACCTGAAATCTGTGACCTCTTTGCTTCTTACTGAAAAGGCCATCTCTCAGGAGGTTCAAGCAAGTTTTGGTAGAAAGGAGGGATGATTGGCTAATTCTTGGCTAAGCGCATAGTTGCCACTGTCAAAGCTGCAGCCATCATCCTTAGCATATGAATTCCTTTGTTTATTGAAGGTGGGAAAACAGAACTGATACCCAGGGTTGGATGACCACATCCCAGGCTGAGGACAAAGTGGAAAATCTCACATTCAGAGAGAAGAGATCAGCAAGCCAGTGGCCCCCAATGCACAATGCTCAGTGGTATCATGGGAGGTTTGGGTTTGTTTTGTCATATTCCCAAGTCTCAGACCAGTGCCCTTTCCTCTGATGCCTCCCCAGTCAAAATATTGCTTCATTTCCCCATTGCTTAAACTGACCAAATTGCTTTGTTCACCTTTGTCCTTGTCTATTGCGTTCACATTTTATAGCTTACTTGTTTTGGTTTCACATGCAATGGAACCCGAGCAGAGCTAGGCAAAATCTCCTTAGCTCGTAACATCCTTGGTTTTAATTAATCAGTATTTTAATAAGACACACCTCAAAATGATGCTTCAGCATCAACGTTTTTAATCTCCTTTTTGTTACAGAAGACCAAAAGATTACTTAAAATCACTGTTATTGAAAGAAATTACCAGAAAATACCCTTTTATTATATCCTGTCTCTTTGTTTACTTTGTGCATTTGTTATCAGCATGTGTCCAGTTGATGTCACCAGCTGGGTCTGTGCTTGCAGAGCAGACCTGGAAACTGATCTTGAGGCCAAATTAGTTTGACTGTCTTATTGTCTGCCAAGCTAAGAGGCAACCTAGCTGTGATAGCAGAGCAAACCTCAGCTACCCGTCTGTGCTTTCAAATGCATGTAGATGGCATGTACCTGCTATAGGATCAGGTCCCAGCGCTCAGTGCCTGGTCTCGCAGCCTCTCTCTACCCCATCTGTCCTCATCGCGTAGACGACAGCAGGCAGACAGGACAGCCTCGAGTCCTTTCGAGAAGGACCTGACGCTGCCAGCGCTGTGGCCAGATTGGGTTTTGGAGGCAGCCTGAATACATTCCCTGCTCACCTGCTCAGCTAAGTGCAGACAGGGCGGCTGTTCCCTCTCTGTGATCAGGGAGGAACTAATCCTGCCAAAAAAGCTGGTTGTCAGTTCCACTGTGGCTTCTGGGACAACTCACTTGAGGAGGGCACTCATGCTTCAGTGTTCAATGAACTTGGATTTGGCCACTTTTAACTGATTTTGAGAGTATTTCACAAATACATAATTTAAAACAGTGAAACCATGAAAATAGTAGGAGATACTCTTAAACATTTTTTTTTTTATATTAACCTGGCCTCAAAGTGATTGTGTCCCTTTTTTTAAGCTGCTTACAAAACATACTGAACAAGCTTAAATGTCAACTCAAGTTTTCTTCTGCACTTCATTACAGGAAAACATTCTATAAGTGAAGGTGTTCATATTATTAATTCTCTTTTTAAAAAAGGCATCTGGATTCAGACTTGCAAGCAAGGTTATAAATGAAATAAATAGTAATTTTTGTTGTCATTTTAATAGGCTACCAATGGAAAGCAGGGGGTTCTGTATGCTTTTTCGAATCTAATCAGAGGTAGATAGGTAGATAGGCATCTAAAGCACAACAGCCTCACACTGGCACATGAGAGAATGGAATTTCCTGGGAACATAATGAAACTGGCCAGCCTTCCTTCATTGGCCAACCTGAGTTAAGTTACAAAAATAGACAAAACCAAAAAACTAAACGTACCAGGCTCAGTCATGAATCCATGGGCCCTGAGTGACACAGCAAGGGACAAAACATCATCACAGTCTTCTCCTTGTTCTCCTTCTGGTTTCAGGAAGGGAAGAGATAGTGCCAGGCGTCTATCCCAAGGTGATACACACTGCATGCCAACACTCCATCCATTTTCTACCCTATTCCACCTCTTTCCCTCTACCTGCTGAGGAGGAATGTATGGATCATCGGAATCTGCTTCCGTTCTCATGCTGCCTCTCAAAATGCAGATAAATAATGCAATGCCTCGTATACGTATGCGCTACTGTACTAGCTAAGTGTAGTTGAATATGCAGGAAGATTAGAGCTTGTTTTAAACCAACTGTTAACAAGCAAAGTAACCGAAGTCACTAGCCCTGCAGAATATTTGGAATTAGGATTTATTTTGCCTTTTGATTCAGGACTTAGGCTATGGATTTTCATCCTAACAGAACTCCTTTGCAACAGCGGCAGATTCTACCCTCCATTACACCAAGGACCTTTGAAATAACTCTTGATATTGACAAAATGAAGCAAAATCTTTGAGAGTATAAAACAAGGGCATAGATTGGTCAGGGGGGGTGGCATTTTTAAAAATCACCTTTCAGTAGAAGAGAATGAAATTGTGCAGATGTCCTGCCTTTTGTTTTTCAGAAAGCAATGTCAGAAAGATTGACTTGGCAACGAAGATGTAACAGCAGTCTGGACACTGGACTTGCAGAATAAACTCAGCCATGTGTCACTTAATAGAGAGATCCCTGGACCAGAAGATTGATGTACAAACAGGACAGATGGGGACTGACAATTGAAAGAATGTAGAGGCTGATCCAAGGCTTACAGAGACCTGTCATTCCTGGGGTTTGCCTACAATCTCCTTCAACAAAAGAGCTCCTGAGGGAAGGAGGGGATTAGTCAAAAGTTGAGTGAAGTCTCCAGGGAAGATGGTTTCTTGGATAAAGTTGTCAACAAAAGGAATTGTTTAAGACTATTTGTTATAATTTCCTAGAGGGAGCTTCTGCCATTACTAACAGGATTACCAGCATACTGGTTCCACACCAGCAGAGCATTAGACATGTGCATTGCAGACTGGTTGCTTAGAGCTGAATTCAGGAGTCTTATACTGGGTCCCAAATGTGTGCAGGTGTTGATGAGCAGAGGGGAGATGGCAAAGAATTAAGATGCAGCCAAACACGGGCCATTTTTGGTACAGCTGTTGCAGAGAGTCCTGGTTCATTAATGAGTTACCAGGGTGTTTTAATCTCCTTGATCTCAGGGCTGCTGACAGACTATGAGAAGGAAAGCTAATCTGAGGTGAGTGCTGATCAGGATACATGGGGAAATCAGAAAGCTCTTTCCCAGCTACAGTTACTGTGAAATTTCTCGTAGAATTCTTCCTGGAAGAATCGGGAAAGCAAGTAACTTACTGTGTTCATGTACTAGTCTGCTTGGTTTCAGTTACCTGGGATACTTTTTCTCAGCTCTGGGACATCAGAAACCAGAAGCCTCAGTGTAACCTCACAGGACATCTGGGAAGAAAAGGAAGACAAAGATAAATCATTAAGGTGCAGGCATGCAAACCTTCTTGAATACTTCTTATTCATCTCAGTAGTGTCACTGGCATGACTGGGAGAATTTCTCTGAGCAAGAATTATGCAGAGCATTGAGGCATTGGAACAAAACCAGTCATGGAGCTATGGGGAAACACCAGAGAAATGGGTGGCAGCCGTAGAAAGAGCTGGAAGGTGACATTTTAGTGTAAGGGAGATACATCTCCAGCCCCATGCCAGTCCATTGTTTGCTAACAAAACACTGCAGATCTGGGCAGGAAGCAGCACAACTGTTTATGTTCCCCTTTGTCCTTGCTATAGACATAATTGCAGGAACGTATAGATTAGCTATGTAAAAGAGCGCACAGACTATCTGCAGGCACTGCTCAGTTAAGAGGACAAGAGGTATTCCTTATCTTACGTGACAGTCCTTAAAGTTCTCTGCCTTGATGAAAAGGCAAGCTATGTCCCAAAAGTCTTTCCACCTCTCGACTGCATGGACCCAGATCTCCCAAACATCAGCCACTCTCAAAGTGAGTGTGAATGCCTGACCTCCCTTTGCAATGCTGAACAGAAATTTGTCTCAATATTAGGACCTTCTGCCTTTCATTTACTCTGCAATGACTCTAGAATAATATTACAGTGACCTCACAGCAGTATAAGCAGGATCAGACTAGAGTATCCTGTAGAGTTCTACTTAGGCGTGTATCTCTGTGTCAGCTTCCCATGTGCAGGTTTATTTGTGGAGAGAAAGGCATTTGGAACCTTTTTAGAAGAAAAACAATAGTTCTTAAGCACACTGGCACTGGCTGTTGCATTGCAAAAGCTTCTAAGAACTGATACAAATAAGCAGCTTTTCTAAAGTGGATGTCTGGCTGCATAGGTAGGAGATAGCTCTCCCCTTCTGAGTTACGCTGCATTGTCATATGCATGATCAGAGCGGCTGTAAATTATGCCCAAGTTGGGATAGGGGGGTTCTGCGTTCCTTTTGCACTCTTGGAGATGGCTGGATG